CCAACCAGCTTCTAATAATGCATGTTGTTTGTAAGTGCTTTGGAGTTGGTTCTGACTCATAGTCACCCTATATAGGGTTTCTATGACTGGTTGGTTTGAACCACCAACCTTGTGGTGCTTATCCTACAGCACCATACCAGGACTGTATATTTATTCTGTTAATAGACAATGCAAGAGACACATATCAAATAAGGGGGCTTTATAAATAAACCCAGAGTGGTGGTTGGTGGTTGTGTGCCACTGATTTGAGTCCAACTCATAGCCACCCTGTATAGAGTCTCCAAGGCTGTGAATCTTTATGGGAGCAGAAAGCCTCCTCTTTCTCCCACAGAATGACTGGTAGATTTGAACTGCTGTTGTGGTTAGCAGCCCATGAGTTTATTCATTTCCTCACCCTTGATCAGGAGAAACACGCCCCCCCCCCAAAAAAAAATGAAACCTTCTGACTCATAGCGACCTATGTTGTTATTGTTATGTGCCGTGGAGTCGGTTCCGACTCATAGCGACCCTGCACAGGGTTTCCGAGGCTGTAAATCTTTACGGGAGCAGACTGCCTCATCTTTCTCTCGCGGAACAGCTGGTAGTTTCGAACTGCTGACCTTGTGGTTCGCAACCCAATTTGTAACCACACGCTATAGGTTTCTGAGGCTATAAATATTTATAGAAGACTGCCTCATTTTTCCCCTGCAGAGTGGGCTGGTGGGTTTGAACTGCTGGAGTGTTAGTTTCCGGGACTCCCATAAAAAAAAATTTGAGTGACTTATAAGAACAGAAACTTATTGAATCTCAGTTCTGGATGCTAATGGTCCAAATCAGGGTATCAGTCATGTTGATTCCTTCTGAGGATTCTGAGCAGCTTCTGGTTGCTCCTGGCATTCTTTGGCTTGCAGCTGCTTACATGACTGATGTTTACAAGACACACTGTTACATGGTGTCATTCTTTTGTCTCTCTGTCATATATTTTCTATCTTTTTTTTAAAGGGCACCACAGTCATGTGGGACTAGATCTACTATACCCAATTATAACTTCATGTTAGCCTAGTTGATAACATCTTAAGCCCTTGACTTACAACAGGTTCCATTCCAGTAACGCAGTCATAATTTGGCTCTGATGCAAGCCAAATACTTGATAAATATTGCCTCTTATCCCCGGCATCTTTTTAAGTTCAGCAGTGTGTGTTTATCTTTAGGGGTTGAAAACATTACATTTAAGATTATAGGTCTATTTTGATACTTGTTGTTAAGTGTTTTCCAGTCAGTCCTGACTCATAGCAACCCTGTATAGGCTTTTGGAGGAGTGGCTGGTAAATTTGAACCACTGACTTGCAGTTTGAACTGACCTTGTAGTCCAGTGCATTATCCCACAATGCCATACCAGGACTCCGATTTTGACACTTAACATTTTTTATGATTCATGTATTTTTTTTTTAATTAAATATTTTTATTTTGCATTGAGTGAAAGTTTACAGGGCACATCATCAGCTTCACATTCAACCATTCATATAGCTTGTTTCATTACATTG